GAAAGTATTTGTAATAGTTTGATGTAAAGTGACATTATAGAAAGTATTTGTAATAGTTTGATGTAAAGTGACATTATAGAAAGTATTTGTAGTAGTTTTATGTAAAGTGACATTATAGAGAGTATTTGTAGTAGTTTGATGTAAAGTGACATTATAAAAAGTATTTGTAGTAGTTTTATGTAAAGTGACATTATAGAAAGTGTTTGTAGTAGTTTTATGTAAAGTGAAATTATAGAAAGTATTTGTAGTAGTTTGATGTAAAGAGACATTATAGAAAGTATTTGTAGTAGTTTTATGTAAAGTGACATTATAGAGAGTATTTGTAGTAGTTTTATGTAAAGTGACATTATAGAAAGTATTTGTAGTAGTTTGATGTAAAGTGACATTATAGAAAGTATTTGTAGTAGTTTTATGTAAAGTGACATTATAGAAACTGTTAGAGTATAAACTTCAGCTGAGTTTATGTTGTATCACAATAGTGGCGGCCATTGTTTGTAATTGAATTCCTCCATAGAGAGGGGTAGTGCACTCTCTGAGATATATAAGACGTTTTTGTGTGTATGTTGTTTTATAGAAAATTTAATAGTTTTTTTCTTAGTATCGTATTTTTGAGGAATTATAAATGTTTTCCATTACCTAAACTTGCATACTTATTTTTTACGTGAGTCATTAACTTGTCTACGCAGAGGGCGCACAACGTTTCACGAACGTGATAGTTTAATCCCACTTTAAAGCACACCCTTTGCCATACTAATTACTTGGGTTAGGCTAACGCCCTCTACAGTGCTGTTTAATAATCTATATGTGGCATGACACGAAATAAGCAGGGCAGAAGTCATGATCTTCCTAGACGTGACTATTTCTCAACTAGGCCTCATTTGTATCGTAGTTTCAAAACTGATATTAAATACTCGTCCTATACTTTTACCATCCACGGCCTCAATTTCCTTGAGATGCTTATAAAAACAAACAAAAAACGTTTTTTTGTAAACTGGAACTGAGGCAGTTAGTCACGGTTATTAGCCTAATCCCTGTTGTTCAACTAGATGCGACTATCCTTTAAATTACTTCTCATAAGCAGTTCCTTTGTTAGTTTTATACGAACCAATGTCATAATCCGAAATGTTGGTTTTTATACATTGCTATAAAACATCACATCAAAACTTCATATCGAACCTATATATTAAACTTTACACAGAAACATCACATTAAATCATCGTATCAAAACTTGATGACAAATATTAATATCTCAAGCAAAAAGCGATAACTTATCTGACTGCAAGTGATGAACACTGTTTATTAAAATGTTTTAGTGAAAATGTAAGGTACAAAAATAAGCTATAAAATCCAATAAACCCATGCGGTAAAAAATGAAACTAAATACAGACAGAAGATTCATGCCGATAAAATGGAAGTTTAAAAATGAGATAAAAAATCGAAGACGAAACTTAAGAGAAATGCATATTAAAATAAGAGATAGAGAGAGATAAAGTCAAATACCGAAATGACTTTAGTCAACAATCAGACATATTTCTCACCTCATGTTAAATTCTACTACGTTGTTTCTTACATCCTACGTGATTTTTACTGTAAATGAAAAATAATCAAGTAAATATATCATTAATGTTAGAAACAAAGGTCGGATATTAAGAGGAAATATTTACCTTTCATCACGTCGTTAGAAATACTTTCTATAAGGTCACTTTACATCAAACTACTACAAATACTTTCTATAATGTCACTTTACATCAAACTACTACAAATACTTTCTATAATGTCACTTTACATCAAACTACTACAAATACCACCATAAGGCTGCTATGAAGAGCCAATAAACTCAGCTGAAGTTTCTACTCTAACAGCCACCATAAGGCTGCTATGAAGAGCCAATAAACTCAGCTGAAGTTTCTACTCTAACAGCCACATAAGGCTGCTATGAAGAGCCAATAAACTCAGCTGAAGTTTCTACTCGAAGTTTCTACTCTAACACCACCATAA